GTGTGTGTGTGTGAAGAAGTGAAGACATTCTTATTTTTGTTTATGGTGTGAGAATTGTTTTTGTGCCTGGCGCTTCAGGTTTTCGGGGTCGAATCCTCAGTCGAATCCGGGTTCGCTCGGGAGCCTTAGTGTTGGGTTGTTGTTGGAACGGGGTGTGGGTCCTCACACGACCCGATGATTGCCATTAGGTGAGGTGTAAAAAAAGAACGGACTTTAGGAACCGGTCGAGACTTTGAAGAGTGAACATCAACGTGAAAGAGTGATCAATCTTTAAAAAGTACCGAACTCGGTGAAGTGAATGCTTATGAACGGATACTTTGATCTAGATCCAGATGATGAACCTGGAAAAGACAATGAAATGATATACGAACACCAGAAAAACAGCAGAAGACGAGACAGTGATAGCGAAGATTGCCCATACTCCAAACAAGCAAGAAACGAAGAAACCGGCAAACAGACCACGGAGAACCATACATACGGAACAGTAACTCAAGGTACCCCACAAGAAAATGGTATTCTAATACAAATGACAAACAAATCAACTACCTCAAACTTTAACCATCCAATAAGATTAACTGAGGCCATAAATAAATAAAGTTTTCAAAAATACATAATTGAAAATTCTTTAAGACTAATAGGAGACGGAAGAGCCATTAGATTCGAGGTAGTTGATCTGTCTAAAATTGGACCTTTCAATGAAATTAAATATCTAGGCAACTGGGAAGTAAACTGCAAGGAACCAGCATCAAACAAAGATCAAGGATGCTCCCATAGCACAATATCCCCAGTAGAACTAGATATAGAAATAGAAGAAATTAAAGAAAAAACCAAAATACTATGGGGACCAGATACATACATAAAAGATATAACGAATTCATAAACTAAGTAAAATATCAGGAGAAAACAAATGGATTCCTACTAAATCCCTAAAATTAATATTCAGAGGTCCATTACCAAATAAAATAACAATAGGTCATATAAGTTATAAGTTATATCAATATACATTCCTAATATCCAAATGTTTCAAGTGTTTAATGTATGGCCATGGGTTAATATCTTGTAAAAACAAAATAAGATGTAGTAAATGCAGCCAACAAGATCACAAATATAAAGAATGCACAAATCCACCTCAATATTATTTCTGCAAAGGTAACCACCCAGCATATGACAAAACGTGCCCGATACATCAAAAAGCCCAAGAAATAAACAAAAAAAAAAACAACACCAAACAACTTAGAAGTAAAAAAAAAACTTTTCCATCACTTAAACCCAACAACACAAAAACAGAATCAACCAATACAAAAAAGCATAATAATTACCACAGCAGAAATACACAACACAGAAACAGATCACGAACAACAAACAGATGATAACGCAAACACATTACAACAAACAAACCCAAACACAACACAAACATATGCTAAAATACTAACACAAACAAATAACATAACACCAGCACAAAAAACACCCACAAAACAAAAAAATAACACAAACAGATCAGAAATACTCCAACTCAATCAACGAAACAAAACAAAAAAAAAACAGTCAAGAAAAAGAAAAGAACAAACACACACTAAGGAACAAAATATAAAAGACAAGAAACTCACAGAATCCCCCATAACATGGTCTCTACCACCACCACTAAACAAAACCCCAACAATAAAAGAAAAGAAGAAGAAAGAAGAAGAAGAAGAACAAAAAAACAAAGAAGAAAAACCTTCATGGGTTGAAATAACAAAAGGAATTTTCAAATTAATAACTAATGTAACCGAAAAATTCAAATCAGACAAAACAATAATTGAAATAATAACAGAGATAATAACTGAAGTTGCTCCTATATTAAAACAAATAGTTGAATGGTTTAATGACTAAAACAATCCTTTGGAACGCTAGATCTGTAATAAACAAAAAACTAGATATAGACTATCTAATTCAAACAGAAAATCCGGAGGTATTCGCAATTTGCGAAACTTGGCTTACAAAAAAGGATAAATTTGATATAAAAGATTATGATATCATAAGAAATGACAGAATAGAACAAAGGGGAGGCGGCCTAGCAATATGTATAAAAAATGATATACAATACAAGAAGATAAATCTAAATGAAATACAAAATAAAAAAAATTTAAACATTAGCTATAAAGATTAGCTATAAAAGAGGATGGTTACACTTACTTCTAATATACAACCCATGTAACAAAGTAAATCAAAAAGATATGGAACACTACATAAACCAAATAGAAAGACCAAAACTCATAATAGGAGATTTTAATGCCCATCATCCCTTATGGAATTCAAAAACAAACCAAACTATAACGAATATCACTGGAATAAACTTATTTGATTTAATAAATCAAAATAACATACTGATGTTAACTCCAAAAGGACAAATTACTAGAATAGATCCGAAAACAGGTAAAGGGTCTACAATAGACCTAGTTCTGGGCACCCCAGAACTGAGTAAATTAGAAGTAGAAGCAAAAATATATGGAGGAAGCGATCACCTTCCAATCATAATAAGAGACATTAATCACAATAGAGAAACAATAGTTAAAGAGGAAAAATGGAAATTCAATGAAGAAGGATGGATAAAATTTAAAGAAGAAATACAAAAAATAGATGTGGACAATATAAAATCACTGAACGAAATAACAGAAATAATAAAAAACATAGGGATGAAACATTTCAGATTAAATAATGATAATAGTAAAAATAAACCAACAAAACCATGGTGGAATAAAAAATGTAAAGAAGTAATAAAACAAAGAAACAAATCATTCAATAAATGGAGAAAAAATCCTAATGAAAAAAACAGAATAGAATACAAAAAACTTCAAATAATAGCAAGAGATACAATAGAAAAGGAAAAAAGAACAAGTTGGTCAAATTTCTGCCACTCATTAGATTTTAGAACCCCAACCAAAAAAATATGGAATTTTATTAAGAAACTTTCAGGCAGTAATAGAATAAATAATTACCCGCTAATAGATAATGATCAGCCAATACAAGAAACAAAAAAGAAATTAAAACTCTTAAAAGAAGAATTCCAAAGTATAATAAACACAAAAACAAAATGCTTAATAACAAAATCAGAATTTAAAAGTTTAATAGAATTGCCAAGTACGAACGGATTAAAAAAGGAGATAACATTAAAAGAATTAATTTCTGTAATAAAAAAGACAAAAAATAATAAAGCTTGTGGCCCAGACAGTATCCCTTATGAATTTTATAAAAATATCCCAAATAACCTACTGGAAAAAATTTTAAACATCTATAATCAGTTGTGGATAAAAGGAGAATATCCTATAGAATTCAAGAAATCACTTGTAAATCCGATATTAAAACCGGATAAAGATCCAGCAAATAAAAAATCATATAGATTCATAAGTAGAATCTCATGTATAGGGAAAATGCTGGAAAGCATAATCAACAATAGACTAATATGGTGGCTTGAAAAAAACAAACTAAGTCAAGACATAACAGGTTTCAGACCCAATAGCTCAACAATAGATACATTACAAATAATCGATTTTCATATTAAAAAAGCTTATAAAGAGAAAAAATATGCCCTAATAGCATCTCTAGATTTAGAAAAAGCTTTTGACAAAGTAAACCATGATGCAATAATAATAAAAGCAGCTAAACTAGGTATAACGGGTACTCCTCTCAGATGGATATCTAATTTTTTAAATAATAGATCCTACCAAATAATAATAGGAAACCAAAAATCCGAGGAAGGAGGAATAAGTAAAGGACTTCCACAAGGATCTCCATTAAGTCCATTACTATTCAACATAATGATGTCAGATCTAAATCTAACAGTAAAAACCAACAAAATAATAGATGCATAAATATAATAACAATAAATGAAAATCTAGAAGAAGCAAAAATCAATCTAGAAGTAGGATTAAATAAAATAGTAAAATGGGCTAACGACTGGGAGCTTAAATTAAATTTAACTAAAAGCAAAGTAATGTGCTTTACAAAAAAAAGAATAAGACAAATACCAATAATAAAAATAAATAATGAAGAACTAAAATTCACAAATAAACATACAATCCTAGGACTCGAATTCGACGCACCAAAACTAAAGTGGAAAAACCATATTAATAACTTGAAAATTAGATGTACAAATAGAATAAACATAATGAAAAAATTATCAACAACAACATGGGGAGCAAACAGAGAGACAATGATAAAATTCTATGATATCTACATAAAACCAAAAATAGAATATGGTATAACAATTTATGGAACAGCAAATGACACAGAAATAAAAAAAATTGAAACAGTTCAAAATGGAGCTTTGAGAATAGCCACTGGATGTTTAAAGACCACTCCAATAAATGCACTCTATGCCCTAACAAATAAAATGTCGATCAAAAATAAACTAAAAGAAAAAGAATTCACCCAAATGTTAAAAATACTAGAAAAAAAAGAAAATACACAAATAAAAAAAATGTTAACAGAAAATATAAAAGAATATAACCCTCAAAAGGATAAAAATAACTTAATCCATAGAATAATAGAAACAAACAAAGAATTGCAAGTGAAAATAAAGATAAAAACAATGTCAAACATAACCCCTATTCCACCTTGGTTTGATATTACAAAAAATATAGAAACAAAATTCTTAGATGAGCAAACAAAAAATATCCCAGAACAAATAATAAGAGCACAATATATAATGTTAGAAAACACACGATATCGAAATTATAAAAAATTATTCACAGATGGCTCGAAAATAAACAACGATTCCACATCAGCAGCAATATACATACAAGATAACAATATAACAACAATATGGAAACTACCAAACAATACAGAAATAATAGAAGCAGAACTCTTTGCAATAAAACAAGGGCTAAAATACATACAAAATAACAAATTATCAAAATCAGTACTATTTACAGATTCTAAATCTGCACTTCAACTAATATCTAACCCGAAACCTAAGAATTCTAAAAGTATGACTTTTGAAATACAAGAATTGATATATACAATGGTAAATCAAAATCAAATAATAATGTTACAGTGGATACCTTCACATAAAAACATAAAGGGAAATGAAATAGTAGATCAAGCAGCTAAAAAAGCACACAAAATAAGATATCCCATAACCATACATGAAGACACAAAAAAACAGATAAAACAGATGAAAAAAAAAAACCAGAGAAACTGGAAAACTCAGTTAAATACAATTCTTAACACAAAGAATTATCTATTGCAGAACACAGAACCGCAGCCATGGTTAAGATCCAAAAATAGAAAATTAGATGTCTGCATAACTAGAATAATAACTAAGCACACAAGACTAAATAAACACCTACATAGAATGAAAATAACAAATGACCCTTACTGTAGATGGTGTCATAATCAAGAAGAAGATATAGAACACTTAATCCTACACTGTCCAAGATTCCACTCCAGCAGAACAAAATTGAAAGAAGCCTTAAGAAAAATCAAAGTAATCAACCCTAACATAAACTTATTATTCACAGGTGCAGATCTCTCCCCAACAGAAAAGTTTTATACTCTTAGACACACCAAAATCTTTTTAAGAAAAACCAAACTAACAGAGATCATATAAAAGAAAGAATAGAAAAGAAAAAAGATCCAGGGGATATAGACTATGCAAAAGTCTAAAACCCTATAAAAGAAGAAAGAAGAAGAAGAAGAAAAACATCCAATGAAGAGAACCGGTCGAGACTTTGAAGAGTGAACATCAACGTGTAAGAGTGATCAATCTTTAAAAAGTACCGAACTTAGTGAAGTGAAAGCTTATGAACGGAAACTTTGATCTTGATCCAGGTGAAGAACCTGGAAAAGACAATGAAATGATATACGAACACCAGAAAAACAGCAGAAGACGTGACAGTGATAGCGAAGATTGCCCATACACCAAACAAGCAAGAAACGAAGAAACCGGCAAACAGACCACGGAGAACCATACCTACGGAACAGTAACTCAAGGTACCCCTCAAGAAAATGTTATTCTAATACAAATAACAAACAAATCAAATACCTCAAACTTCAACATCCAATAAGGTTAACTGAGGCCATAAATAAATCAATTTTTCAAAAATACATAATTGAAAATTCATTAAGAGTAATAGGAGATGGAAAAGCCATTAGATTCGAGGTAGTAGATATATCAAAAATTGGACCTCTCAATGAAATTAAATACCTAGGCAACTGGGAAATAAACTGTAAGCAACCTGCATCAAATAAAGACCAAGGATGCTCCTATGGAACAATATCCCCAGTAGAAACAGATATAGAAATAGAAGAAATCAAAGAAAAAACCAAGATACTATGGGGGCCAGATACATACATAAAAGATATAACAAGGATTCATAAACCAAGTAAAATATCAGGAGAAAATAAATGGATTCCTACTAAATCCCTGAAAATAACATTCAGAGGTCCATTACCTAACAAATTAACAATAGGTCATATAAGTTATAAGGTATATCAATACACATTCCCAATATCCAAATGTTTTAAGTGTCTAATGTATGGCCATGGGTTGATATCATGCAAAAACAAAATAAGATGTAGTAAATGCAGCCAACAAGATCACAAATATAAAGATTGCAAAAATCCACCTCATTGCTTTTTCTGTAAAGGTAACCACACAGCATACGATAAAACTTGCCCAATTCATCAAAAAGCCCAAGAAATAAACAAAAAAACACAACACACAAATAACTTAGAAGTAAAAAAACTTTTCCATCACTTAAACCCAACAACACAAAAACAGAATCAACCAATACAAAAAAACATAATAATTACCACAGCAGAAATACACAACTCAGAAACAGATTACAAACAACAAACAGATGATAACACAAACACTATACAACAAACAAACCCATAACACAAACATATGCTAAAATACTAACACAAACAAATAACATAACACCAGCACAAAAAACACCCACAAAACAAAAAAATAACACAAACAGAGCAGAAAATACTCCAACTCAATCAACAAAATCAAAACAAAAAAACAGTCAAGAAAAAACAAAAGAACAAACACACACAAAGGAACAAAACATAAAAGACAAGAAACTCACAGAATCCCCCATAACATGGTCTCTACCAACACCACTAAACAAAACCCCAACAATAAAAGAAAAGAAGAAGAAAGAAGAAGAAGAAGAACAAAAAAACAAAGAAGAAAAACCTTCATTTGTTGAAATAACAAAAGGAATTTTCAAATTAATAACTAATATAACCGAAAAATTCAAATCAGACAAAACAATAATTGAAATAATAACAGAGATAATAACTGAAGTTGCTCCAATATTAAAACAAATATCAGTTTGGTTTAATGACTAAAACAATACTATGGAACGCTAGATCTGTAATAAACAAAAAAATAGATATAGAATATCTAATTCAAACAGAAAACCCGGAGATATTCGCAATTTGCGAAACTTGGCTTACAAATAATGACAAATTTGATATAAAAGATTATGATATCATAAGAAATGATAGAATAGAACAAAGGGGAGGCGGCTTAGCAATTTGTATAAAAAATGATATACAATACAAGAAGATTAATCTAAATGATTTACAAAATAAAAACATCGAAACATTAGCTATAAAGATTAGCTATAAAAGAGGATGGCTACACTTACTTTTAATATACAACCCATGTAACAAAGTAAATCAAAAAGATATGGAACACTACATAAACCAAATAGAAAAACCAAAACTCATAATAGGAGATTTTAATGCCCATCATCCGCTATGGAATTCAAAAACAAACCAAAATATAACAAATATCACTGGAATAAACTTGTTTAATTTAATAAATCAAAATAACATACTGATGTTAACTCCAAAAGGACAAATTACTAGAATAGATCCGAAAACAGGTAAAGGGTCTACAATAGACCTAGTTCTGGGCACCCAGAACTGAGTAAATTAGAAGTAGAAGCAAAAATATATGGAGGAAGCGATCACCTTCCAATCATAATAAGAGACATTAATCACAATAGAGAAACAATAGTTAAAGAGGAAAAATGGAAATTCAATGAAGAAGGATGGATAAAATTTAAAGAAGAAATACAAAAAATAGATGTGGACAATATAAAATCACTGAACGAAATAACAGAAATAATAAAAAACATAGGGATGAAACATTTCAGATTAAATAATGATAATAGTAAAAATAAAACAAAACCATGGTGGAATAAAAATGTAAAGAAGTAATAAAACAAAGAAACAAATCATTCAATAAATGGAGAAAAAATCCTAATGAAAAAAAAGAATAGAATACAAAAAACTTCAAATAATAGCAAGAGATACAATAGAAAAGGAAAAAAGAACAAGTTGGTCAAATTTCTGCCACTCATTAGATTTTAGAACCCAACCAAAAAATATGGAATTTTATTAAGAAACTTTCAGGCAGTAATAGAATAAATAATTACCCGCTAATAGATAATGATCAGCCAATACAAGAAACAAAAAAGAAATTAAAACTCTTAAAAGAAGAATTCCAAAGTATAATAAACACAAAACAAAATGCTTAATAACAAAATCAGAATTTAAAAGTTTAATAGAATTGCCAAGTACGAATGGATTAAAAAAGGAGATAACATTAAAAGAATTAATTTCTGTAATAAAAAAGAAAAAAATAATAAAGCTTGTGGCCCAGACAGTATCCCTTATGAATTTTATAAAAATATCCCAAATAACCTACTGGAAAAAATTTTAAACATCTATAATCAGTTGTGGATAAAAGGAGAATATCCTATAGAATTCAAGAAATCACTCGTAAATCCGATATTAAAACCGGATAAAGATCCAGCAAATAAAAAATCATATAGATTCATAAGTAGAATCTCATGTATAGGGAAAATGCTGGAAAGCATAATCAACAATAGACTAATATGGTGGCTTGAAAAAAATAACAAACTAAGTCAAGACATAACAGGTTTCAGACCCAATAGCTCAACAATAGATACATTACAAATAATCGATTTTCATATTAAAAAAGCTTATAAAGAGAAAAAATATGCCCTAATAGCATCTCTAGATTTAGAAAAAGCTTTTGACAAAGTAAACACATGATGCAATAATAATAAAAGCAGCTAAACTAGGTATAACGGGTACTCCTCTCAGATGGATATCTAATTTTTTAAATAATAGATCCTACCAAATAATAATAGGAAACCAAAAATCCGAGGAAGGAGGAATAAGTAAAGGACTTCCACAAGGATCTCCATTAAGTCCATTACTATTCAACATAATGATGTCAGATCTAAATCTAACAGTAAAAACCAACAAAATAATATATGCAGATGACATAAATATAATAACAATAAATGAAAATCTAGAAGAAGCAAAAATCAATCTAGAAGTAGGATTAAATAAAATAGTAAAATGGGCTAACGACTGGGAGCTTAAATTAAATTTAACTAAAAGCAAAGTAATGTGCTTTACAAAAAAAAGAATAAGACAAATACCAATAATAAAAATAAATAATGAAGAACTAAAATTCACAAATAAACATACAATCCTAGGACTCGAATTCGACGCACCAAAACTAAAGTGGAAAAACCATATTAATAACTTGAAAATTAGATGTACAAATAGAATAAACATAATGAAAAAATTATCAACAACAACATGGGGAGCAAACAGAGAGACAATGATAAAATTCTATGATATCTACATAAAACCAAAAATAGAATATGGTATAACAATTTATGGAACAGCAAATGACACAGAAATAAAAAAAATTGAAACAGTTCAAAATGGAGCTTTGAGAATAGCCACTGGATGTTTAAAGACCACTCCAATAAATGCACTCTATGCCCTAACAAATAAAATGTCGATCAAAAATAAACTAAAAGAAAAAGAATTCACCCAAATGTTAAAAATACTAGAAAAAAAAGAAAATACACAAATAAAAAAAATGTTAACAGAAAATATAAAAGAATATAACCCTCAAAAGGATAAAAATAACTTAATCCATAGAATAATAGAAACAAACAAAGAATTGCAAGTGAAAATAAAGATAAAAACAATGTCAAACATAACCCCTATTCCACCTTGGTTTGATATTACAAAAAATATAGAAACAAAATTCTTAGATGAGCAAACAAAAAATATCCCAGAACAAATAATAAGAGCACAATATATAATGTTAGAAAACACACGATATCGAAATTATAAAAAATTATTCACAGATGGCTCGAAAATAAACAACGATTCCACATCAGCAGCAATATACATACAAGATAACAATATAACAACAATATGGAAACTACCAAACAATACAGAAATAATAGAAGCAGAACTCTTTGCAATAAAACAAGGGCTAAAATACATACAAAATAACAAATTATCAAAATCAGTACTATTTACAGATTCTAAATCTGCACTTCAACTAATATCTAACCCGAAACCTAAGAATTCTAAAAGTATGACTTTTGAAATACAAGAATTGATATATACAATGGTAAATCAAAATCAAATAATAATGTTACAGTGGATACCTTCACATAAAAACATAAAGGGAAATGAAATAGTAGATCAAGCAGCTAAAAAAGCACACAAAATAAGATATCCCATAACCATACATGAAGACACAAAAAAACAGATAAAACAGATGAAAAAAAAAAAACCAGAGAAACTGGAAAACTCAGTTAAATACAATTCTTAACACAAAGAATTATCTATTGCAGAACACAGAACCGCAGCCATGGTTAAGATCCAAAAATAGAAAATTAGATGTCTGCATAACTAGAATAATAACTAAGCACACAAGACTAAATAAACACCTACATAGAATGAAAATAACAAATGACCCTTACTGTAGATGGTGTCATAATCAAGAAGAAGATATAGAACACTTAATCCTACACTGTCCAAGATTCCACTCCAGCAGAACAAAATTGAAAGAAGCCTTAAGAAAAATCAAAGTAATCAACCCTAACATAAACTTATTATTCACA